CAATGCTGAAATCCTATTGGTGGAGGGAAGCCAATTCCCACCCCCTCAGGTAGCGCGTGCAGCTGACCGGAACGAGCGGAAGACACAGACACACGCAAGGCAGCGAACTGAAAAAAGAGATTAATTTTACAAAAAGTAATGAGCAGAAAATTGCTATACATCCTTAAATGTGCTCAGGAATGACGAAGTGACCAGCGGCTGATGTGATGTGGCTGGTGTGCTTACTTTACAACCATTTTGGTGAGTGAAATATTCATCTAAGCTAATGAGCTAAGGTGGCTAACTACGCTGGATAGAACGGTGTGCCGATGCGGTATGCTTGCGAAGTGTGTACGTTTCTCTCTGACTCGGTGTCGCTGCTAAAACTACAATTACTGCCGTAATGCATTGTTTGTTTATTGTTTGATTAAAGGGGCAGACATTTCATTTTTTATTTGACAAAATTGTAAGTGTAAAATGTGAGCTGTAGCTCCATTGTTGTTTTTGCACACAACTAAAGGATCAAGTGTCATAAGTACTAGTGTAGTTTGCACTGTAGAACTGTTTTGTCAGAAAAATATTATTAATTTACCGGTAAAAACTGATTAAAAGGTGAACGGTTTAAAAAAAAAGCATTGGTGATGCAAAAGTATTTTAGTTTGTGATTTGGAAACAAAGAAATGGTTTCATGGTTAAAATTCATAATCATAAATCATAATTCATGGTTCAAGAGCAAAAATGAAAATCAGAATCTTATGGGTTAAAAATATTCCATTTGAAGTGATGCAGTGATTTAGAGTGCCGCTGAAGTCATAGGATGAGTTCATAAATGTGGTTGTTACTGTGTTTTAATCTCAGTAGCATACAGAAATTTGATTTAGATGAAAACATGGCCATGTGTGATATGTAATGCCATGACTGTTGCACAATAAGTTTTTTATTGTTATGCAGGCTAGGTTTTTTTGGGTGATTTGTGAGACTTGGATTTGGAACCTGGATTCCTCCTTAACTAAGGAGGTGGCGAGCCATCCCAGAACCTGATCATCCCCCGGTGGAGGACCGCCCAGTTCTTCATCTTCCCTTGTGAAACAGAGCTGCGGTATGAACATTGATTAAAAATGTGGCTACAGTTGTGCTACCAAGAGAAACAACAATTGCAGCAACTGGACTAAAAGACATTTGTTTATACAAGACACCAAATAAACTTTATTGAAGGATCTCTGTTAATCTGAAGACAAGAAGAAAGGAAAACATTGAACTTCATCCCATTGGTGCAGTAATGCTATGTTTTTGATGATTTCTGTTAAAGGGCTGTATTATTCTTTTCAGTAGAAATGCCGGCTGCTAAGTTTTATTTTGTTTAGTTGCCATTAATGTATGATTAATACATGCGTTCTAATCTCATCTACCGACTCCAACTATTCATTGACTTTCCATGTGCATTAGCACCTGCCTCCATCGAACCTAGACATTGGCCCACAAGTCAGTTAGTCTCCTAAATTAACTTAGACCCACTAGTGTGTCTCATTCACTTCTGTGACTAACGGGTTACATAGCTTTTCTTGGCGAGCCAGCCAGGAGGTAGGAAGCTAATTTGTACTCTTAACCAAACATTGACATTAGAGGAAAATGGATGTTCTTGAGAAACACTCTGTCAAAATCCCAAATGCTGTGGTGGTCAGTGGGATAGCTGGAGATGAGAGAGATGAAAGTGTCACAGACTTCCTGAAACAATATGGTTCCATTAACAGGTTCATAACAGTCGATGAACATTCCCCTGAACTGTACCCATGCCTAATTGTAGAATATAACTCAGGAACAGCTGTCGAAGCATTAGAATCACTACTGCCGTACACCCATATTCTTGAAGGAAGTGGGATTAGTTACCGCATACGGTCTCTTGCTAGCATTTACACACAGATAGTGGGGAATAGTACAACCGAAGCCTACCACACTGAACTCAAAAACCTAGCTAAGATGAGTGGGAGGAATTATAGTGAAGTTCTAAAGGACATGATGTCCCAAATTGGTGAGTCAATCACAGATCTTGTGTCTGTTTCGCTAGAGGGACCTGAAGTAGCAGATAACCCACTTAAATCACATGTGGCTGAAACACTGCCCTCTGCAGGAGTATCCCCTGCTAAAGCCACTCTACTGAAAGTTGACACACCACCACTTCCTGCTCGATGTGGTGAGGTCCAAGGTCTCTCAGCTATTGCCACACACGACCTCACTCCGCCAGAAGTGCAGCGTGTGGTGGTGGAGCACATTGTAAAAAGAGATGACAGTGCACTGCAGATGCAGTCTTCACTGAGACTCAGAACATTCTCAGGCAAAGTCCCCCGGCCTAGTCATGAACCAGATTATGACACTTGGCGTTCCAGTGTCGAACTGATCCTGAATGATCCTTCCATATCAGACCTTCAACGATCTCGGAGGATTTTGGAGAGTCTGCTGCCTCCTGCAGCTGAGGTAGTTAAACATCTAAGTCCCAACAGTTTACCTGCTGATTACCTTCACTTGCTTGACTCTGCTTATGGAACTGTCCAAGATGGCAATGAGTTGTATGCCAAATTCCTTGACACCTTCCAGGATGCAGGAGAGAAACCATCTGCATACTTGACATTGGCCCACAAGTCCGTTAGTCTCCTAAATTAACTTAGACCCACTAGTGTGTCTCATTCACTTCTGTGACTAACGGGTTACACAAAGGATTTTACTCTGATCTTTTAATTAGTGCGCTCAGGTTGGACTTTTTTTTTTCGCAGTTTTTCTACCTGTGTGTAAATCTAATTATCTTGGCAGTTTCAGTGAACTGTGTGGGGTTTTTAAAGTATTTAAAATATGCTCTGATAGTTCTGATGAGTTTTGGATCAGCTGTTCTGCTGCTGTGTTCTTTTCCTGAACAGATCTTGTTTCTTTCCTTGTCTATAGAAGGAGATCGACCAGACATTTGTCCCTTATGTCTGGATTCTCATGGTGAGTTTTGATTTCATCTCCTCAGTTCACACTCTGTTGGAAAACTGTGACTTCTTTCTTTTAAAAGCCATGTTTTTGTTCCTGCTCAGACACCTTTGATGGTATCCCTGACTCCACCCTTGTTTTCCTCCACAGAAATGGCAGAATGATTACATTAGCTGGGATCCACGTGACTTTTGTGGCATCACAAATGTTTCTCTACCGACTCAAGTCCTGTGGAAGCCAGACCTCACAATTGAAGAGATGTGAGTATAAATGTAGAGTACAGTAATTTGCCTTAATGGCTTCAAGCGAGGAGATTTTTTGACAGGCATTTCACAAATCTGAGAGCATCACCAGTGCAAGGATATACACTCCAAGTGAAGCACAGGGCATCTGTGCAGCAACAGTACATCCGAGTGCAGACAAACCGTTTTGAGCAGGAGTGAAGCTGATTTGCATCGAGCAGGGGCTATTTTAGAGAGAGGGCAGGGTTTGAAGGGAAAACACGACACAATCTGAATGTAAAATGGAGAAATAATGCACAAATATTGAAATTTAAATCCATATTATCAAGCCACACCCAACAGGAGACTATAGACTAATGTTATATGCAAAATTTTGAGCATCCCTGGGAAAATGACATCAAAGAAGATCATAAAACCCGAGCAGCAAACCACACTAAACACAGACACTAAAACATAAAACATTTATTTCATGAACTTTAAAAGGCAGAATACAATAAAACAGTAGCATTTGGGACAGCCAGTTAGTTAAGGTGCTAATCGTCTGGCCCAACTTCATCGTCATTTGTTTCGTTGTTGTGTAAAGACTATTGAAAGCTATGTCAGTATGGGAGTTCAGGAAATTCATGCTGCAGGTTTCTGAGATACTGAGAGGAAAGAGTCCGACAAACAGCCGGAAGCAACAAACTAAATCTAAAAGCATAAACGCTGCTCTTTGTGCTCTCTGTGATGCTCATACCAACACAATCAGCTGATTTTCCTTACACCGTAACTCAATGCATTCACTAAGACTTCACAGTTTCAGTGAATGAACTTGACCTTTCGGATGTTGGGGAGGCAAGACTTCAGCGGTGGCCTTGGAAGCACCTCTGCTTTCACCCCCATCTTACCCTAATGAAGCTTTCATGTGTACATGCGTGTGTTTATGTACGAAGTGCGTCAGAAAAGTTCCAGCACTGGTGTCACAAAAGATGTATCTCAAATCCAAACTACAAACTACCAGTTTTCTCCTTCAGAGTAATCCCCCTGGAGTCTAACCCACCTCCCCAGCCTTCTCTGCCACGCCGCCATGCACTCCTGGAAGGATTCCTCCAGGATCCTTTCAGCTCCATCATCACAGCCATCTTGATGTCGTCCACGTCTTCTAAACGGGTCTCCTTGATGACCCCCTTGAGCTTGGAGAAGGGTGATTTTAATGCTCAAGTGGGCAATGACGGTGAAACCTGGAGGGGCATGACTGGGAGGAACAGCCTGCCTGATCTGAACTCGAGGGGTGTTTTGTTTATGGACTTCTGTGCAAGCCACTGATTGGCCATAACAAACACCATGTTCAAACATCAGGGTGAAGAGAGGAGCAGAGCTGTCAAATGATTACTACCTGGTGGTGGGTTGGATCTGATGGCGGGGAAGGCTGCCGGACAGACCTGGTAAA